AAACTAGTGATGCTGAGAATTTTTTCCAACAGGTTTCTTACCAAAGACTAAAATGAAAGATTATTCTGGAGCCATAAGGGGTTAAAAAAATTGAAGAGTTTAGACTATTGACCAGAAAAATCCATGATCTTAAGATCCATCCTAAACAATCACAGCACTCAGGAAAAACACAAAAGTAAATTAGGCTCCAACATTACAACATCTATACTGTAAAATACCCCCAACTATATGGATCATTCCTGTCAGGAAAAACAAAGACAGATGGTTGTAGAAAAAGACACTCTTCAGAACAACCTTAACTTTCACGTACTGACAAATCAAAATATTTACAATATTTATCCCCCTACAGAGCTCATTCCCTACAATTAAAGCTCTTCTAAACTGCCACAGCATATTGCTACAGAAATTTTGGCAGAACAAATCCTTAATTTACATAACTGTTGAGAGTAGTCACCTAACTTCGAGGAAAAAAAAAAAGTCACGCATTCTCAAATATTATTGATGTTCTGAAGCCTCTGATTTATTTTACTCATAATTGTGTACATATTTCATTGCTTTGTCATCAGAGGGAGATATCCAACTGTCAATAGCAAGGTCAATAGCTTCCAACTGGCATGAGTGTGACTGGAATTTGCACAGCATTCACTACTGGAATGTCACTTTCTGAAACAGCATCTTTCTTGTCTCAAGCCGAAGGAGAGCTGTATTTCAAAGACCTAGCAGTGTATGCAGGTGCATGAAGACCCCCTGGAACAGCCCCAGTTCCCACAAGCTATCTGCCCTGAGTGACCTCACTGCCGCTAACAGCGAGGAGCACAAAATGTCTCCTAATTCAGGCACCTCATCTGCGAAAACTCCTGCCCCAGAAAGGAAGAAGAAGACTGCAGGTCCACAGCAAGCCCAGCAATGGATTTCAGTGTTGAATCTTATCTTAGTCCAAATTTTTCTATAGTTAAAAGTGCAATTAAAACACATCTGATAAATCTTGACGGAACATTTTTCTAGAACCTAGGGCACAGACTAGCACCTGCCCAGGACCTGCTGCTGCTCCCTTCTGGCCTGCATTAGACATTTCCCTTTCTATAATGGTCAGGCTGATTCAGGGTGGCTGGTCCACATGGGAACACCCAGAACCCAGAGTTTCAAAGCTCTCCTGGTCTCCCAGTTTAAACTGTCAAACTCCAACCAATTGTTTCATTTTCTTCTCTTGAAGCTACCTTCCAGAGTGGCCTCTAGTCCCTGAAACTTCTTCAGGTTTAGCAGGAATGCCCCTCAAAAAATAGTCACCTAAGTAAGTTTCTTCTCAGTTTGAAGGTTCTAAATGTTCAAAGACCAAAATTCAGTCAGGGGTAAAACCCACACATGAGACAAAATTTAAAGAAAAAAATAAAACAAGACCTTGTGAGGGGTTTCTACTCTTATTTTCAACAATCAAAATTTGATAGTAAAATTTCAAGTAAAATTTCAAAAGTCCCTTGGAAATAAAAGCATCCCATCTACAAGCACACAGTCATGCAATATAGTATGCACACAGAATGCCAGAGCAGCAGAGCTCATTTTATTTCAGAAACAGTCAAAAAGCCATCACAATCAGACCACAAACAAGTGAGGGTTTAGAAATCACTATGTCAAGGATCCTGTCTTTCACTACTAAGTAGAAGTATCAGACAATTCAAGAAATTTGAGGGGATATACTACTTCTACCAGTTAGTAATATGAGGGTGGGTTTGGGCTTTTTTGTGTGGGGGCTAAAGTGTAAAAAACTTAAAGATTTGGTTTCTAAAAATTCAGTAATTTCTTAGGAAAATCTTATAATTTTCAGCCTTTTGGCTAAAATTTGTTCCTCTATCTCCAAAGAAGAGAGATAGAAAAATTCAAACATAAGACTCCCTCTACTTCCTGTAATCAGACTAACTGAAGTCCTAAGAGCAGAGAACACTGGCAAGTATCATATGAAAGTCTTAGATAGATGAGAAATATGAATGATAACTCTTTTTTAATAAAAGAATTAAAATGAGACAAATATGTGGTTGCTGTAGGTAAGTATAATTACAGTGCATGATATTTTTGTTTTGCTAGTTTTTCCCAATAACTGTCATCTGTTCTCACACAAGTGATTAAATTAATTTCATTTTTCACTTAATCCAATTCCCACTTCTAGCTCAATTTATAATCATCACTTCCCCCTGCTAGTGTGGCATTAAATTACTGTCATTCTTGACCATTAAACACAGCATATTCCAGTCAGCAGAATTGATCAAAAACACCATGGCAGTGCCATGGATTTCTTACTAAATACATTCCTTTTTGCTGCTTTGCAGAAGCTGATCATCAGTGTCAGAAGCTGTTACACCACAGAAGCTGTTTTTGACTTTTCAGGTAAAAGAAAGACATTCTGAATCAAAAATAGACAACAAAAAAAGTCTTTTTTATTGAACACAGCATTTTCTCTGTTCTCTGTTCAAATTGCACTTACTTTAGTTTGCAAGTGCCCACTGAAGAAATTTCCCATGCCAGCATAAATTTCCATCTGCTACTGATCTTCTAACCATACTCCCCCTTACTGTAAAATCAAAAGTTATTGCTGCCCTTAATAAAAAGAAAAGAAAACAACCAAAACCAAACAACCTCCCTTGATGCTACTCAAATTTCTTTGTAAGTTCAAATTCAAATCCTGGGTGAAATTCACTTACACAATTGGCAATACACAGACTTTTCAACAGAAGTTGCCGTCTTAAACACAGTTGTTCATGTCCTGTTTTAAAGAGAAGACAAGACTGAGGAAAGATTACAACTCCACTAGAAGGTCAGTGGGAATCTCATATTTCTTGTCCAAAGCGAGATTCTACACTATTTCTTCAGAGTCAGTTTGAAGCATAGTCACTTCCAAGCTCGTTTTCATAAAAATATATCCATAAATTAAATTTCTGCATGGTCATCTTTACTTTTAAAATATTCCATTGTATTCTGACAGTAAAAACAGTAGTTAATCTCATCTTGTGTGTGGTTCGTGCTGAGCTACAATGCGTTAAATAAAGAACATTTCCATTTCCATATTAAAATTCCCTTCCCTAACAGAATTTTCTCTTGTTTGGAGTTGAATGAAAGGTATGCCTGCCAATCTAACTGGACCATTTTCAAAGAAACCCAAGGCAATTTCTTTCCCTCTTGACATATTAGGAGTACAATCTTTGCCCCATCTGCCAATTCAATAGCTGTCCAAATGTACATTTTGTCCATGCATGCCTATACAGGAATTAACATGGACTTTTGTTTGTACACTATAACACAATATTTTTATAAACATTGTAGACACCTAAAAAAAATTAAAATCTTGTTCTTAAGAGATGTTAATTGGTACAACTGCATTACTTTTAGTGTCCTACTAATCAAGAGCTTATTATTCTCTAACAGTTTCTGAGTTACCATAGCATACCTAGCATAATACTTTGTACTTAATAACTGTAAAGTGCTTTACAAATGCTGTCAAATTATTCACAGTCTGAAAAACAGGCAAAAGATTAAAGGAGTTTTTCTGGAGTACTTTCAAAGTAAAGAAAAAATTTCTCTGTAATCATCTGTAAACTTGAATAACACAAGGAGACGTGACTGAGTAGCTATATACGGGTGGCTTTTTAAGCATCAGTGGTAACTGTATTACTTATTCAGCACATCACTGGATTTCTGTAGGATCTATTTAAACAAATACCGTTTTCAGATAAAAACTCTGAAGAATTGAACACGCCTCAGAGGTCTTGTTCCTGCCAACTGCTTTATCGAGGCAGATCCCAGAATCAACAGGAATTGGCAGGGCTCCAGTAATCCTTCACCCTATGTGCTACAGTTAACAAGGATTGTGGCCTCTGGGTCTGCTCCTGGTCTTTTCACGACTGAACAAATGCTGCCATGAACATTTACTCAAACAAGACTAACCCCAACTTTCTTTTAAAACGTTTGGAAGATATTTTCCTAGCCCGACAAATTTGGAAAAATTCAAGCTTTAAAAACTGTAGTCACGCGATTTGCTACGATCAACGTCTGTAGTTTATTTCCCCGTGGTAAGACCTAAACCATAATTCCATTTCTTTCCCGTTTTATTGCGGTGTTTGGTGCCAAGCACGCTGCTCCCAGTGTTCGGTGTGACAGCTATGGATCAGCTGTCGCTCCGAGCCCGCCAGAGCCCGCTCAGAGAAGCCGGGCTCGCTCCGCGGGCGGGATCCACCCCGCACCGATGGCCTGGGAGAGCGGCAGCAATCGGCTGAGCCATCTGCAACCTGCAGCACCGCGGGGACCCGCGCCTCTTCGGCAGAACTGCTCCAAAAAACTGGAAATTTCCTGCCGGCAACCAAATCTTTCCCCACCATCAGCTACAACCACCTGAGCAGCACCTCTTCAATTGCGAGGGCTGCAGATACAACGTTCCAGCAATCAGGGTGCCTGGATCATTTGTCGCTGAGAGCTCCCGCATATTTAATCGCCGGAGAGGAGCAAGAGCTTGATTTTGTCAGTCAAACGAGTAGCTCCAAGTGCCGGTACACGAGAGGGCAGCCCGCATCAAGCGGCGAGCCGCCCTGCAGCGCCCGTGTCGCGGCGGCAGAGCCATGTTTCCCGGAGCCGCCGCCAGCCGAGCACCTGGATCGCGTCCCCGCACAACCCCGCGGGGAGCGGGACTCACGGCGTCCCGGAGCCACCCCGGGCTCGGGCTCACCCTCCCCCCACCGCCGCTCCCCGCCGCCTCCTACGCGGAGCCGAGGGCCGGCGGGAGCGCCGCTCGGTGCCCGGGGGCGCCCCGGCGGCAGGAGCTGCCGCTTGACCCGTCTCCCTGGCAACGGGGACACTCGCCCTCGCCGCCCCCTCTTGCCATCAGAGCCCCCCTTCCCCACCGCAGCGGTGCTGAGCGCCCGGGGCCGCAGGGCACGACCGGCGGCCGCCCCCCGCCCCGGTCCCGGTTAGGTAACACGGGCGGCGAGGCGCCGCCTCGGGCCCGGCCGCTCGCTCACCTCGGGCAGGTGCCGGCGCCGCGCACGGCGGTGGCGGTGGCGGCGCCGCCTCTCCGCCCCGCTCCGCTCCGACGGCAGCGGGGGGACGAGCTGCGGGCAAGCAGCTCCCGCGCCGCAGAGCCGCCGTCCCGGCTGTGCCACTCCGGTGCCCGAGCAGGAGGAGCTTCCCCGCCCCGCCCAGTGCGCAGCGGCGGCCCGGGAGGGCCGCACCTGCCGGAGAAGGAGGAGGAGGAGAGGGCGGTGTGTCCGCCGCTCCCGGGGCGGTGGAGGGCCGCCAGCGCAGCCCGCCGTGCCCCCGGGAGGCGAGGGCCGCCGCGCTGCTCAGCCGCCGGGGCCGCGGCCCTGCGGGAGCGCTGGAGGGAAAAGGCCTGGTTGGGTGAGCCCTTTAAGTAGCGCTAAGTTTGTAGGAAGAGCACCTGCGAGGTGGGATAACCACGGGGACGGCGGGGTCAGGAGGGCTGTCAGGGAGGCATTTGGGAAGGAGGATTTTAGAACAAGAGATACGGCTGGAAAGGATGAGGTCTCTGCAGGGTCAGGACCAGAGCGCTATATCCTAGGATATTAAGGCATCACTGCTTTATCATCCTGTTATGGGGTTTAATGTGACTTTTTCAAAATCTTATGTGCAAAAGTGATGAGGAACATCCATCTGAGATACAAATGCTGAACCATTGTGTATTTTTCCAAATGCGGTCTTTGCAGAGATACAGGACCCAGCTCTGTAGTGAGGCTCAGTAACCACACTGTTCTTTCAGCCTCACCTCATGAAACTGACAGGTGGTGAGAACTTTTCTTCCTGCACCCTCTAACTGATCCCATGGTTATGAAGAACATTCAGGAAAAGTAAAAAATAAATCTAATGATTAGCGATCCATTCATAATCAGCAAAACTGGAATGTGCTTTAATATATAGGAGAAAATACAATTTTGATAATTGCACAGAGCACCTCTACTTTTGAGCAGTTTTTCATCTTACTACTAGATTTTCTTAGGAGTTTAGTTTCTGTTTACTGATCTGTGAAGTTAATAGAAAAACAGCAGATCCCAAAAATCTCTGCCTCCATCTCCAACGTACCTCCACATTAAATTTTGCATACATGCCACATCAGAGGAGTTCAAGTCTTTTTTAGATAACAATTCCTTAAGACACCTTTACAGCATGTGGGCCTTCAGTTAAGGCTACTGACAGAAGAGTTGTTCTGTTGCAAGGTGTTTGTGAAAGATATCTAGAAATGCCCCAATTCCTCATCTGCAGAGCAGACAGTAACATCTGGAAAGTTGGTTCAGAAAGTGCACCAGATGCAGTGTTTTGGGTAGTAATGCAAAGCTTCCCCAAGTCAAGGGTGAAGCAGCTTGGTGCTTGTGCAGTGCAATACCAGGCAGAGGCCCATTTTTGTTCCAAAACAGAGGCATAAAGACAAGGCCAGTGCTTCGTTAGAACCAGTTAATTCATGTGCAACACAAAACTGTTCTGGCTACAGTACCTTGCCTTGATTGCATCCAAGTGGGTTTTGAATGTCTCCAGAGAGGAATACCTCCCCAGGCAGCCTCTTACAGGGCTCTACCACTTTCAATGTAAAGTTCTTCCTCTTGCTGAGGTGGAACTTCTTGTGTTTTGGTTTATGGTCACTGCTCCTTGTCCTGTTGCTGGACACCACTGAAAGGAGTCTGGCAATACATCATACTAAATATTAGTAAAAGTCACAGAGATTGAATTTATTTTTTTTTAATTCTCTATTCTGGAAATATATAATGGAGAGATTTTTTATCTTACTTCTATTCTCACCTCTAGAGAAGGACTGCAGATGTTTGATAATCCCATACACAAGACACATGTAACTGTGAAAGGCTCCAAAGAAATACCTGAACACAACAAAAATGAAGCCTACCAGATCTTGGAAAAAGGTGCAGCAAAAACAACTATTGCAGGTACTTACATGAATGCATATTCCAGTTGACCCTGTTTTTCCTTTACCATTTGTATGAAACTTGAGCAGATGAACAAGAGCTTGTTAGAACTGGGAATATAAACTTGCATGAGGTAAAAACAGTTTGGGGCAGTTGATAAAAGAGTTTATGAAGCTGGAAATACCAAGTGATCTATCCTGAACCATGAAAGAGTAATTGTTGCTCTTGTGGAAGAAGACACAGAAGACATCCTAAGAGGATCCTTCAAGACTCTAAGAGAACAAAAAGGACATCAGTAATAGCCAGAGTTTCTCCCACATCTATAAATCCCAAGAAAAAACAGAGTACAGTGGAGTATGCTCACAGAGCAAAGAAAGTGATGAAACCTTAATTTAACCAGCAGCTGCCAAAAGGAGCTGTTATTGAGGAAGATACTGAAGAAATTGAACACCTAAAAGGAGACCTCATTGATGCACAAGAGTGAAATGGAATCTATGTTTTCATTGAAAATTCATGTAGCCCTTAAAGGAAAGCTGACAGTTTGGGAAGAACAAGTTACAGAGTATACTGAGATAATGAACACCATGGAAAAAGTGGTGAGAACAATCACTAAACCATTCGCAATTAAGAAAAGCAATGAAAACAGATCTGCAATTCAAGGAGAAATAACTGAAATTAAGCACAGACAGATCTGCAAGAAACCAAGATTCCTCTAGCTGAGAAATAATATATGGTTTCAGTTCTGAATACACAAAAACTTCACAGCACAGCTAGCCATTTGGTCAGTACTGTTAATATAAATCATGTATCTAAGCAAAAAAGTATCATAAGAGAGCTGTTGATCATCACAGTGTTAACATCCAAATAGATTTGCAGGAGAAATTAATGTTCTGGTCAATAAAGTACAAGATTCAGTTAGTGAGAACTAGAAGAAGCAGCAACAAATATTGATATCTTATGCATAATATATAGGTGTCCTCCTGTCTTTCAGTTGTTCAGCAGATAAGGTATTTGCATTAGTTGTATCAGGGTCTTTTACCTCTGTTAAAAAATCACTGACCTTTCTGAACTTTCTCAAGTGTCTGAAAATGTGTGACAAAATAGGACTGTGCCATTTGCTAGTAAAGCTGAGCCATTCAAATTGACTGAGAAGCAAATACTGGATCAGGAGGAGCATTAAATATCTTGATAGGAATGGTAGAAATTGTCCTGGAACTAAATTGTTTGTTTCAGAATAACATAAGGAAATTTCCTAGTTGATGAGATCGAGGACCATAAAAAACAATTAATATCTTCTTAGGAGATTTTTCTCTCACTCTGAAACAATTACAGAAACAGCCAGTGGTTTTGGGATTTTTTTTCTCAGATGCAAAGTACTGATGGGTATTTAGGAGAAGTGGAAATGGAAAAATGTGTATATACAAAGAATGCAAATGAATTAGTGTCCTCACATCAAAGCCAACTGAACCTGTTGGCACAGGAGATGCAGAAGAACTCTAGCTTGTATACTGTCAAAAAATGCAAGTTTGATGACTACCATCATTGCTGGGCAAAAAATTGTTTATCTGGAAACTACTGACCTAGCCAATAGTACAACTTCTGCTTCAACACAAATTTATTGCATCTCTGGATAATTTCTTTCAAAAGCTCAAGGACATAAATGGTAGTTTATAGCCATATGTTTCATGGACATGAAAGAAGATGCTGGTGGAATCCATAGTCTGTTCTCAGCAACTTCTTAGCAATCTAAAAAATGCATCTCAGGATACTGGTAAATGGAGGGAATTTAAAACTGCTCAGATAGTCAGCTTTATGGATCAGTAACAGTCCTTCTTCAGCAACAAGAAACAGCAGCTTCAGTGCTTGCAGTAGAGAACAGAAGGTTTATGATTGAGACCCATTTTTTTAATTGGATATTTTGTTCTGGATTAAGATTTCAGTAGATGCAGTTTGGAACTACTACAGTGTAAGAATATATCCTTCAATACATTTCATTATATGCATATCAAGAATACAAATAGTTGTGTTCAAAGATCCTTGACATACTGCTGGAACTAAAACAAACTAATTGCCAATTTTAAAAGCATTGGAATTCACCCATGAGAGCTACAAACCAATAGCCTATATTAACCAAGGAGAGCATATGTCATGGTGCTGCCAGCTAGGTCCAGGGTCCACATCCCTGCTCTCATTTAGAGACCTGCCTGAATGACTCCTAAAAAAAAGATCTTCTTATCGATTTCCAGTTTGTGCTCACTAAAAGTCAGTCAATAAGTAAGAACTTATTCAGTGAATGAAATTTTCCTGTGGCAATTGAAAGCTGGGAGCTAGAGAACAAGCAATTCTGTGTAACAGGGAGATGCAATGGATTTATGTATTATATACAACTTCTCTCAAGAACAACAGTGAATTATGACTTGCAGCATTTACTCTTAAAAAGACAGAAAAATTATCCTTATACAAAGGCTTGTCAAGCTCTTTTTCTCTCTCTAAAAGCTTATATTGCCACAAATATGCTCTCTTATATATTTTTTAGAAGACTGACTTCAGAGATTGGCATCAGTGTATTTTTTTTATCACTGCAACATATGGCAGTCTTCCCTGCTGCCAAAACATGGCCATGTTTCAGCCTCAGGGTACAGCTGGCTTGAACTTAAAACTGAGACTGCTTTCAAACATAAATACAGAATTTTGTGTTACCCCTTCAGACACTATGAAGAAAAGTAAATATAAAATTTCTGTTGCTGGAACCTCTATGAACACTACAGTGCCTTGGGATTCCAGCCATCCTAGGAAGTATTTTTTCCTTCTAGTTTTTTGATAACATCTAAAATGATTAACAGTCACTGTGTCAGGATCATGTATCACTCAGCTATCGGTACTGAACACCTCTACAGTTCAGATTCCAGTATGGGTTTGCAAGATTCTCATCTTATGGTGATTTATCTTATGGTTCCCCACATAGTCACAAGTTGCAGCAATCTCTGATCATGTGCAATCAATGTTTGTGTAACCCTTCTGTTCAGAAGTTTTTTACAACTCATCTGTACTTAACCCATCACTTCCTCTTACAGTGCTCTTCCTGAGTTGCAAAGCTGAATGTAAACCTGCAGTACAGGTGGTGCATGTTATCTCAGTGTTCTGAAAATTAGCCAGATAAACACAGGCATTTCCTGGTTACATCTGAAAGTATACCCAGCACTGCTATAT